AGGCGGCACGACCAATTAGCCTTGCAGGAACGAGGTCAACCCGCGCCTTATGACCTCCCTGCAAACTTCAATGCATTTGCCTACCACTCGATGATCAAATCATTCAGAATTGACACAGCAACACAACTTGTTGTTTATATAAGGATTACCTGATCGACAACAACAAGAGATAGAGATAGAGAGACAGCGAGGGATCGATTCAAAACGTAGAGTGCATCGCAGGGCCTTGCCGTCATGTCGCTTCGTCAACGTGCACATCTTCCTGCCCATCCTAAGGCTGCTCAACGGTTGTTCCAGCGGACGAAGAATCCACCATTTTGTTTGCAAGAACTGCGACAGAGACAGAGGACTTAGTGGCACATAAAACTGGCGAGAGAGAGAGATAGAGAGAGAGAGAGACGTCCGCTTGCCATCCCGGGGCCGCCGAGGTAGCCGCCACCTATGTCGGGGCAAAAGACGTAGCAGCTGGTGCATGTGATTATCCAGTGGCCATTCTTGCGACAATCTTCATAGCATGCCTTTGGTTCGAGATCGCAGTCGACTCCCGAGTCTGTTCCGGTGGATACATCCACCAAGAGGAGCAAGCATAGCGCCAGCACCACCATGCGCCGGGACGGCAACGCCATGTTCGATGTTATCTCTACCTTTGTCGGCCGCTCCTCCTTCTCTCTCTCTCTCTCTCTCTCTATATATATATATATATATACACACACACATACATATCCACGGTTGCTTTGCCTTTTAGCTCGTCTCCTTGTGTCCACTGCACCAGCGTTTTCTTAGGCAACAAATTGGCTATTCTTCGCTGGACTTCGGTGATTAAAACACTGCAACCTATTTTTGCCCAAAGCCAACAGCGTCGAATCCGCCAAAAGTCTCCAAACTTTGCTTTGTCAAGTATGCATCTTCCTATTAATGAGAGTTTTAACCCCAAACTAATCTGGTCATCGTCATAAATCGTTGTTTCAGCATTTGTTTGTTTATTGTAGACTTTAGTATCTATATATGTACCTTTGGCATCATACACAGTTGATTCTTTTAATTTTAGATTTTGACAGATTATCATAAGATTTTTATATTAGAATCTCGTTTTCATCATTTATTCTTCATTAAAATAATACAATCTTATTTGTTATTGATCGGTAGTTGCTAACACAGTTAAAACTGTTCACGGATGAACTAACATTTTTATTTAAAAGATGACATATTAGAAAAGATAGATGACATAAAAGAAATTAATAGTAAATAAAATACAACATATACCAAAAGAAAAAAAAACCCTATTATTTATACATATTTGCTCACAAAATGTTTCATTAAGGTTCTGTGTTAATTCTATAATTATCAATTATAAATGTGCAGTAGCACTTTGGCTATCTTATGTGACGATAATATTCTAATTCTTGTCGAGTAATCGACTTTAATTTAGAATTTTTTATTGAAAATACTGAAAAATCATCTAAAGTATGGTCATCACAAGTAGATGCATCACATGACATTGAATTATGATTTGGAGGGTTTTTTTTTTTGTTTATAAAGACCTATAAATGAGAGTACGAAGAAAAAATATATTATGATAATCATTTTTGTGAATCCATCTGTTTACAAGCAAGTCATAAAATCTTGTTTGTCTCTAACAATGTCCCATCATTTATTTTTTTCCTTTTTTTTCTCTTTTAATAGACTAATACTGATCTTGGCATCACCACCAAGTTTTTTTTCTTCTAAAAAAGAGCTGTATTATTCAAATATTAGAAACACAAAAATAGCTTTGTCAATCAGAACACAACAAATGATATAGGTCAGAGGATCACTCCTCTCTTTAAAATTATGTTGATTTAGTTATTCTTATGTATTGACAAGCTCAGATCATTTCTCTACTCAACAAGAAGACTCGTAAATAATATAATATTTAAATAAAAAATATTATTTGGATATAAGAAAGCTAACGAGGAGCCTCATAATTATGACACCTTCTTTGTAAAAAAAAAATTGTGAGAAAAATTATAGAGAGCTTAATTTGTTTATTTAGTCTATCAAAATTCTACCACTCTAATTTTGTCCCATTTTCTCTCTCATCATTTCTTATCATCATCTTGTCGAAGAGAAGATGATTTTGGAATCGATTACGATTAAAAAACCCCTCAAAATGGGTAAGATATGAACTCCAAAGTCTTTCTTAATAGTCTTGATTACGATTTTGGAATCGATGATTTTGATTTCCCAAAATCAGAAAGGGCAAGGGTTGATTTTGGAACTAGAATATGACAGTTTCAATTTTTGACTAGTATGGTTCAGATAGTTCGAATCATCATTATTGTTATTATTATTATTATTATTATTATTATTATTATTATTATTATTATTATTATTATTATTATTATTAATTTTATAAAAAAATTATAAAAAAAATTTTAAATAAAAAATTAAAATTATGGAACTGACAGTTTTGATTTTTCGAACTTATGAATCAAAACCAAACTATTCGAGGCTAGTTTCAGTTTGATTTAGAACTAGTGAATCATCGGGTTAGTTCGATTCCTGACTCGATTTGATTTAGATTCAAATCGAATCATGGTATGATTTATTTCATATATAATAGTTAATGGTTTAGTTAAATGTATAATAAATTTTTATTTATATTTTAGCAAATATCTCACGAGGAATAGTAATTAATCTCTCTTCTTCGATATATAGGGAACAAAAGGGACGTCCAAAGACCTCTTTTAGTAGTATTATATGACACAGAATTGAAGCCCAATATTTCATATGTGCACGCACTCACTCGTCGCCTGCATGCACTGTGTGTTATTTCTAGAAAGGTATACTGTATCATCGGAGAACATACGTAGAGTGTCTACATTACGTGTGTATATATATATATATATATATATATATATATATATATATATATATATATATATATATATATATATACTGTACCATCGCACTGCTTACGTATCGATGGAGAAGCAGGTTAGAGGAGGAAGCCACAGCAATAGTGAAAGGGTGGGACGATATGGAATTATGCAGCAGAAGCATTGGATTCTACAGGAAGCATATAGAAGTGAAACAACTACAAGCGAGAGAAGAGATGGTCGTTGGCCTTCTTATCCGGAGGGGTAGCCATCCGCGTCCTGCTCGGGCTCACAAAAGAAGCAGGCCATGCAATGGACTCTCCAATAACCTTTCTTCGTGCAATCATAAAAGCAGTCGTCATGTTGGTTGCAGTCGACTGCGTAGCCGGAGGATGCAACCACCAAGAGGAGCAGGCACAGTGCCAGCACCACCATGTTCCGGGACACCGTCGCCATGTTCGACCGACCTCTACCTTCCTTGTTCGTCCTCCTCCTTCCCCTCCTCTTCTCCCTCTCCCTTTATATACGTCTCTCTCTCTCTCTCTTCATATTGCGCTGTCTTCATATTCTGTCCTTGCATCGACCACCGGACCGTCTTCGTATGTGTTGGAATCTGGCTATTCTTGGCGATCTCCATCTCGGGACTTATCGTCATCAGAAGTTGGAACCCCGACGAAGCTGGCCAGCAGGCTGGACATACAAAAATGATGTGGAACCCCATCGAACATGTCAACGCCAACGGGTGTCATGTCTATATATATATATATATATATAACTGCTCTGGTGGATTTGCATTATAACGACCATTAATAAATATCTTAATCACTGAAAATTGATGTTGTTCTCGGTGCCTGTGAACCTAATTAGCCATGCAGCTGAGACGTCGATCGGTGGCAGTACTGCCGGCAGGTAACGGAGGAAGGCTTTCAGTGGATTCAACAGAAGACTGACAGATAGTCTCATTTGGAAGCTACCAGCATACTGTATCAACTCCGGCAATTATAACTGGGGATATCTGAAAGACGAGACAATTATTTCCGGAAGCAGTGAATTAAGACGAAGGACAAACAGGGGACCGTCGAGGGACGACGACAACATATTCACGGGGTGCAGTCTTTGGCCCACCGCATGGCCCCGATGCCTTGGGTCAAAGGAAACGATAAAAGAGACACATGTGCTCTTCTTCCATCACACACCAGCTCGTCCTGCGCCACCGGACCAGCAGGGGAAAGGACCAGCTCCACACAGACGAAGAATATTACGTGATGCACACAGAAATAGGGCATGGAAAGACGCCAAAAGACAACGAGAACAGAGAGCGACAACAGAGCGTGTACATTAACCCATTTCTTATCCTTTTGTGATGCATTCTTCCATCACCATTTCATTTGATCCTTCAGATTATGTGTCTCTCGGATGGTATCAGAATGCTGTGTGTTCATGTCGTATGTTTTATCGCATCCATTTTGAGAATAACCGGTTGATCCTGCCTACGCCACTTCACCTGCATAGGATTCGATTTGATCGGTGACTCCATGGTCCCAAACATAGGAATTGCGATAACCAACGATATATATATATATATATATATATATATATATATATACAAAGTGGAAGAAGGCGGGTTACCAACTGGCACCGTTGACCTTCCAAAATAACATTGTAATAAATCATTATATGTTGATTTTTATTTCTGAAACATCAAATCAACTGGAAACCATTCAAAACCCGGTCTAGAAATCGGATCCTGGGTCAAAGTCAGCGGAGATGTACAGGGTTTGATCCGTTAGATGTAAAATCTCACCAACAAGAAAGAGGAGCGGTTCCAACTTACCCGTTCGGTGCCCGCCTTGTGTTTGGAGTAAGCTTGGGTGGGACCCGCACGCGTGGTCATATTTGTCAGCAGTCATAAAGCAGGTAGATTAGAGCGTCACGTGGATCAACCGTAAACGTTATAGTAGTTTAGTCAACCCAAATCCGGCAACTGCCGCCGAGGAGAGAGAGAGAGAGAGAGAGAGAGAGAGAATAAGGATGTTGGTGTGTTGGACACTCCTCGATGGCGCATTAACTCCTCACACCTTCTTCTCCTTCGTCGTGCTTCATCGGTCCATGTGCAAATCCCAACACGCTCGCTTATTTATTGCACCTCGCTCGCTCTGAGCCGTCAACTCTCCCTCACCACCGCCCTTGTCTCTCTCTCTCTCTCTCTCTCTTAACGTTCAATCTCTGTTACGTTGTTGATTTTTCTGGTCTTTCTTTGGTCTCTCTCGCTGTCTGAACCTCGCAAGCCCGTGAACGCTTCAACCATCTCGATCTCGACGTCCTTCTCGCGCCGGTTCCGCCCCACGCTTCCTCTCTTCTCTTCTTCCCTCCTAATCTCCCCCTCGCTCCTCAGCTGCTGCTGCTGCGCCCCTGTTCTTGTTCGGGTCCTTGATCTGCGTTGCCACAAATCCTATGCGAAGAACCTTGGATTCTACTCTGTGAGGAGAATGCACTACAACAGCAGTCGATCGTGCCGCAGGGAGGAGCCCCAACCTGCGGTGGCATACGGCCGCGATCAGGTCTGGACGGACCCAGTCCGCACGGAAGGTGTTGCATTCTCTCTCTGTCTCTCTCGGGTGGTAATCGTTGCCTGGCCTCTTAAAATTTGGATCTTTGGAAGGTTTCATGGGTTCTGAGGACAGGATTCCTCTGAACTCCGCGGAGCCGATTCCGTGTCGCTTACTGAAATCTCTGTTTTGTGACCGCGTCTTGGGATCAGTCTGCTGTGTTCCATTTCTCGGTGTTATATAAGAAAAAGAAACACTTTTTCTTGTTCCGGGAAGATGTAGCCTCTGTGATCAGGACCTTCCAAGTCGTTCCATTCTAATGCGTGATATGTGCAAGATCTTGTTAATTTTTCCTTTGCTCGAGGAGAATTAATATTTTACTTCTTGATTATAGACAATGAAGGACCACTAAGATGCTATGGCTTTGTTTTCTTCTCTTTTCTTTCTTTCGTCACAAATTGATTTATAGTTCCATCTCTGGAATTCAGCATCGGTTTTGCTACCAAAAAAAAGTTAATTTTTGTACCCAGTTTTCCATTGTGAAGTTGTGGTTAACTGTGAAGCTCATTTTGGTAATTCATCACCGAAAGGATATGAGATATCGTTCTTGCAGGCTGTACTTTTAGTCTTATGGTCTGCCATATATTCTATGGAGCTTTAGATGGTGTTTTCCTCTCTTGTTTGTTGGTACAAATTGTTTTTTCTCGATGAGATTGCAATTGTTTAAAGCTGTACAACTATAATTACATGCTAATTAAGCTCGATCTCATTTGGTTCTGTTGTTTACTGTCTTATGACTTGCTGACAACTTAAATATCTCTTTTTTTTACTCCACACTCTAAATTGTAGGAACTTTAAAATGTTCTAAGAAATAGGAATACTTGGATTTTATTTTCATTTAACGAGGGCTTGTGTTTGTCTTGAGTTTTGCTGAATTCTTGCTTACTTTGGTTCTGCCTATGGCACTGAGTTACAGAAAGACGATTCATTCTGACTTTGCCTTGTGATGGCTGGAATTTCGTTATACAATCTGATGCGTCTTCATAGCATTTAGTTCTTTTTGTGTCGTCTTGAGAGGCCTAGAAGCATGCTGTCAAAATGTTCCATAGATTGGTGTCCAATTTTAGGCACTTCAATGCATTTTTCAGGACTCCATGTGTATGTCTGATCGGTCCTTGTGAAATGCAGTTGACAAATAAAGTTATCTAACCTATACACAAAAGAATTTGTACAACAAAAATTAGCGAAAGGTCCGGACTATTCCATTGTGCTTATTCTAATTTGCATCAACGTTGTTAATATTGAAAATCTCTAGAAACTATTTTCCAACGACACCAAATTGTCATGTTATAGTTGGTATCAGTGTTTTGTCAAATTTGGTGGCTTGCTTAGTGTCATTCACTGTGAAGGTGATTCTTCTAAATGTTCAGTTGGGAAAATGAATGATAATGTTCAGTTGTAATTCTGATACATTTCACTTTTTGAAGAATGTGAAGAATTTGTTACCATATGTGAAGCATGTCCTTGTACATTCCTACTATTAGGCATGTACATGTCTAGTCGAATGTGTTAGCTTGCTTAGCCGGTAAAGATCTTGATAGTTTATCTTAAAGTTCTGGACTTATATCCCGTCTTCGTCGCTTACCCTAGTAAAAAAAAAACTGGACCTAGTCTTGAGAAATGTAGCCTTTCTCACTTAGTCTATTGATGGAAAAAATATTATTATACACTTCTCGTTGTAGTAAGATTCTATTTTATTTTGCAGCTTTTGCTTATATAGTATTAATAGATATGCTTACTAGATCGGCAGTTTATAAAAACCTCTGTTGTGTAAAGATTATAAGATTTTTTGTTCCTCGAAGTGCCAAAAATTTCTGATTGTTGATTAGATGAGAAAAATGTCCTTAGTTTTGTTGTTCTGTACCTGATCGTTGTCTGACATGACATATGGCTGAATTTTTTCAAATTAATGATAATCTCAAGATATGAAGTTCTTATTACAGGGCATTTCCATTCCAGAAAATGGCCAAATGCTTCAAGGATTGCATTTGATTCTACTCGTGACATTGGTTCTTGTGCAGGAAAAAATTCTGTAAGTGTGCATTTCCTTTTTAGGTTTGTTGTCATAAATGTTGTTATTTCAAGGAAATTGAAATTTCAACAATTTGCCGGTGATAATAGCCTGGTCTTATGGCCTATTATAAAGCATAAACATTTGTAAAGTCCACTAATGCTACATAAGCCATAGGTAATTACTATTCATATAGGTTATGGGCATGATGCTCTTTAACTTTTACTGCTAGATTTTCTTAGTTTTTGTAGTTCTTTCTTAAATGAAGGCTGCCAACTTGCCATGTCTTCTGATTTTTTTTAATGTCTTTGAATGCAACTGCTGCCCTGTACTGACATGTTTAAGTGCTTCGGTGTTCCCAGTTTGCTCTTGAGATTAGTCAAAACTTATCTATGAAAGCTGGAGAAATTCCAATGAAAGAAGCAATAGATGAAGAGGTATCAAAAGAGAAAGACATTAGGTGTCCTGCACCAAGTTTAGTTGCAAGACTAATGGGTCTTGATACACTACCCTCTTCGGTTAGAGGATCGAAAAATATGGAAGATTGCTGCAAAGCAATACCGTCAAAAAGTACATCGGTGAATTGTATATGTATACATCCTAATGACCGTTCACAATTTAGAAGCACCGATGAGAAGCAAGAGTTCAAAGATGTTTTTGAAATAACAGAAACATCCAAGATTAAGAAGCATAAGAACCACACTAATAGCAGGAAAATGCTTGGCTGTAGAGGAAATGAAGCTGGAATGGATCTTACGAATCAGAACTCCAGGGATGCAAAACGTCTTTCTAATCATGATCTGCTTCAAAATGGTAAAACTTTCAATGATGCATTTGAAGTCTCGGACTTGAGCAAGGATCTTTTCGTGGAACTTATCCAAGATCCCAATTCTTTTTTAGCAAAGCATAATGTAGATCTGAGGCATGCACCACTGTCACCTCATCGAAGCAAGATCACAATATTGAAACCGTCTAAAGCCAGTAAAAATTGGAGCAGTGAAGGTTGGTCAGAATCATTTAAATCAGAAAGAAGGCCTGATGGGTTCCTTCATATGCATCAAGAAAGCACAGGTTCAATTAAGATGAAAACGGCAAGCCTTGGCAAACACTCTATCAAAGAAAACAATGTTTCTCTTTCATGTAATTTATCAGCATCACTACATGCAGCTAGAACCAGAACTTTTCTTCATCCTGCTCGCATTGTTATTTTAAAGCCAAACTTGGAGAAAGCCCAAAAGATTGCAAGGGGTGATTTATTTACCCATGAGAACAGTTTCATTTCCAAAAAATGCAGAGAAATTTTAGCATCTGGAATTCAGGAGCTGCACGACAAAGATATACAGAAGTTCTTCTTTCACACTGAGGGATTGAGCCACAAGGGTTCAGTAGAGATTGCTAGAGAGATCACAAGAAAAATGAGGCACACGATAAGCAGTCAAACCAAAAAGAACTTTGCCTCACAAATGAATCCCTATGCTAAGAGTGGAGACTCATTTATCATGCCAGGCATTGTGAAGCTCAACCACTCAGAGGCCTTTTATCTGTCTACTGACAATTTTGGCGAGTGGAATAACAGCTTCAGCCCTTCATCTTCATATTCAGCTGAATCTTCTGCGAGCATGGAAGCTAAAAAACGTCTGTCTGAAAGATGGAAGATCACTCACCAATTTAAGAATACAAAACTTTGTTCTCGAGGCTCAAACACACTGGGTGAATTGCTTGTGCAATCTGATAGAAAGACACCAAAGGCTACTCTGGATTCATTAGATACTAAGAAAGTTTCAGATGAAAAGTTGTCCAAAGATGAGATACTTGAAAGCAAGGGCTACCATTTGGGTATTAGCAGCAAGGACAGCTTGAAAGATGGGAGCTCTGGATTCTTGCCGAGGTTCAGTTCACTTCCAGCTTCAAGTATTGTTTATGGAAGCCCAAGACCAAGTGACAGAAAACAAGATGGTGGAAGTAGTAATGATTCGATCAAAGACGTGCGACACATGGGATCCTCTGTTGCTTCAGAAGCAAAATGTAGTAAGCCAGGAACTGCAGAAGTTAAGAGCTCTAAGCATCATAATCACAATTCTCGACTAGCTCATCCAGTTGAAGAGGAAAATATGCTACCTGAACGGGAGATTCATGTGAATTCAGAAGGATTGAGGAAGAGCATTCATGTGAAAAATTATTTAGACAACACAATGTTACATCCTGAACCTACTGATTATGCCATTACCATCAGAAAAAGTAGTGCCTCAATTCCCATAGTTGGAGATGACTCACGGCGATTGATCACTCAAGAAGAGCAAGTAACGCAGTCTTCATTTCAAGTGCCATCAGTTCGGAATGATGTAGTGATTGAGGTGATCTTCTGGCGTTACAACTATTTAGTTTTCTTTGATAGTGGAAAGAATCATTTGTGACCAAAAGGAAGCATTCAAAATTTAAGATGATTTATTTTATTAGATTACTTAGAATATTTCATGTAGATTTTACAGCAAATTTTGTATAGTACAATCTATTAGAAGCACTTGGTCAGATATTGTAAAGTAAGGAAAGATATTGTCTAGTGTAAATTTCAAGTTATCTTGTTGATTTCTCTCTGTGTCCACTAACAGAGCCATTTTATAGATTAGCATAAACTCACAAGTCAACTTTTCTTAGCCATGCTTTGTTTTGTTGGCATCCCTTTTCCAATTTCAATTATAATAAAAGGATAGAGCCTATGGCTCCAAATACATGATGCCTCTCCTGAATTATTATGTAATCGGTACCTAATAATTCAAACAAAGAATGCAGCAATGCTTAATGGTTGTAAGCCATCTTCCATGCCTTGTCAGGTATCAATCGCAATGAACTTCAATCTCTTCATTTGGCAGTTGGCAAAAGATTTGCATGCTTTCATCTGTCTAAAGTAGGAAACCATCGTCACCTCCATGCACACAACAGAATCTTGAAGGGGACGAACACTAATTATTCTGTTAATCTTCATTAGTCTGTGCATGCGTTGTTTTATGACTCTTAAATTAAGTTTGATCTCATCTCCATTACTGTAATAAATGAAGTGTGCTTCTTATATCACTCCGTATCTCAAAAGTAAACTATTTTCCTTTGCTCCAGGATATATCAAGTGACCCTCCTCAAGTCGAGCGGCTTCAGTTCGAGTATGATCCATCTGAATCACTTCCTCTAAGCTTTAAGGAGCTCGAACTGCCGAGTCCAGTCTCAGTTTTGGAGACTCCGTCCGAAGAAGGAAGCACTACAGGATGCCTTGAAAGATTAAGTGCAGATCTTAAAGGCAATAGAACAACCTCATCATTGCCTCAGATCTCTCCTTTAATTTTATCTAGATTGACCGTGTCTCTGATTTTATTTTACTTGACTGCAGAGCTTCGCATGAAACTCGAACTTCTAAAACTGGAGTCGGTGGATACGTACATGCCGACCACCAACAAAGATTATACAGGAGACGATCATGTGCCCCAGTCTTCAGGGGCGATAAATCGCGGGGAATTCATAGATGACGATGATAGGGACTTTGCTTACCTACTCAACATACTTGTAGAATCAGGAATCCATGGTGTTGATGACAACAAGCTCTCGGATGCCTGCTACTTGCATGGCTGTCCTGTGGACCAGATGGTCTTCCATAAACTCGAGAAAAAGTACAACGGGAATGCATCATGGTCGAGATCAGAAAGAAAGCTGTTGTTTGATCTTATAAATCGCACCCTGGCAGGTTTCATCACCAAATGCATGGATGTGGACCCAGGAGTGAGATCGACGATTCATCTGCGAGCATGGAACCGTGAAGGCCTTGCGGAAGGTCTGTGGCAAATGGTGGTCAAGCTAAGGAACGATCAGGACTGCAATCGGGAAAATAAGGTCCTGGATCCGGGATGGCTTGGTTTAAGATATGATGTCGATTTGATCGGAAGAGAGATGGAGAGGCTACTAAACGATGAGCTCTTGGAGGAACTTGTAAGTGAGTTTGCAGGAGCATAGTAGAGCTATGCTAAATCTGCTTTGCTAAAGTAAGTGTAGTCAAGTGCAACAGACTCACTGATCCAGCAACCGCGAGAACAGTGACCGAGATGGAGATGGAGAAGCAGATCACAAACTTCCAAGGAGTCAATGTTTTCTTGGAAAATCATGTAATGCTGACTCTGTCAAATTTAGATTTGTATGTATTCTATTACTGATTCCTCATGGGATGCATTGAATTGATGGTTGCGACTGTGCCATCATGCTGGCTTGCTATGTGAAGAAAAGATTAGCGTCAGCTGGTTTTCTAGTGGATGTAAACATTCTACCCGGAGTTTGTTCTTGAATAAGCAAGCTGCTTCTGTCTCAGCCATGGTTCCGAGGACATGATAGATTGCTTAGAATCTGATCATTTAGATTAGCCCATAATTCATTATACAAAGCTGAATGCTTTTCAGAGATAACATACAAACAAAAAAAGAAACCAACCATTGAGATCTTTCACCCAATCCTCGCTTAGACATCAAATCATTTTAAGCATCAGAAAACCATCCTCGGTAATCCAATCCACCATGTATGATCTAAAAAAATTACTATTTGAGTATCGAAAAACAAGTCTACGTAATCCACTATATATGATCTAAAACAATTAATATAATGAGCAAAAAATACCCCTATCTAAAGAGGAAGGAATTCAAACGACAATGAATAATAATATGCTAACTAAATACATACCATTTATAAAGATAGACCCATAATGAATATTCATGCATGTACAGTGGATGAACAAAGCACCATATCATTTTACGAAGATACGCACGCTCAAATATGGTGAACATTCATGCATATATGGTGAATGAAGGAAGTCCCACGTATGAGGAATATTTTGAGCAGTATCAAATAATTCAAAATAATAATGTATCAGAATCGTACAATATCATCAATAGTGGCTAAGATCTGCAGTTGATCTTTCAATAAGGTATGAAGGGCTCTTATTTGCCGTCTTGGGAGGAATGAATCTTCCATAACTACGCGAGCTGGTATTGTTCTTCCTCTATTCAATGAACCGAGTAAATGGAGGGAGAAACAAAACAAGATTTCTATTGTGCTGGAAAACTTGGTAATTCCTTGATTCAACGAATCTACTTATGATCAGGCGCATTAATTGCATGACTCCTTACGGCCACCGTAATACGTGTATAAATATGACTGAGAAATGAGAGAAAGGATCCGTAGACAATCGATCGTTTGGTGTGTCCTCCTCGTCGGAAGAACATGGCGAGGGTTGGCTCTCTCAAGCTCCTAGGGATCATGATGGCCTGTGCGGTGATGCTGCTGCTGTGCAGTTCCATGAGCTGGGCACGCCCGCTGTCTCCGGGGGAGAGCAAGCCGTATGGACTGGCGGCGATCAACTTTCCGAGGCTGCCAAGGGGACCTGTTCCTCCGTCCGGCCCCAGCTTTCCTCCTGATCGTCTGTAGCTTCTTGAGACGACCAGTTCAAACAGGTCTTATCGTGTGAGAAATAATAACCTTCAAGTTCTTGCGAGAAGCAAGAGCGAAGCATGTGTTTGTTCTGGTTCTTAATTTGCTGGGTTCCAGTTTGGCACTCACAAATCTTTTCTTGTTACGGATGCCAAAATTGCAATTGTCGCATCTTAAAATCCGTAGTCCAATAAATGTGATGTAAACAATAGGGAAGAAACGTATGAATGAAGAGCAATTGGACGAAAACCTGCAACGCTTCTCCTCATCACAACCAATGTTTAGAAGCAGCAAACCACCACATACGTCTGCTAAGAGACGAGTCGAAACTTCTTTGGTACAACAAAAGTAGCAGTTTCCGTAGGTATATATAGATGATGATTCCAGGACTTGTGGCCATCGCTGCCTCACTCCCCCAAAATCTTCTCCCGCTGAATTCCGTGATGCTCTCACCAGCCATTTACTTGGTCTTCCTGCTTGCTATCACAAAATGCGCTTGCTCATCAACCCTGCTCGATGAGCAATCACCGGAGGCTCACGTCATTTGATCGATCAAGATATCGGGCCATCGGCTGTAGCTGTCGAAGTCTGCTCGCAATTATGTGCTCAGCGGGGTTTCGTCCTCTGTACGTTCCGTCTTCCGAAGCCACCGTCGCTCTTCAAACCCTGGTTGAAAAGACTCTGGTCACTACTCGGAATGCTGCAGCGAGAGGAGTACATTTCACTGCTTTTGCAGACATACTGAAAGAGTCGTTTGCAGCGGTTGGCGACTACGTATCTTTTAGCTGACCTTTGATCTTTCCGGCCATGGATCAGTCACCTTGTTCTCTTCCATGTACTTGGCGACAAGATCGGGTGGATGGATATCTCTGACGCAGGTAAGGCTTGGGAACTTACTGCCTTTGCCTGGGAAAGGAGCCCGTGACGTGAACACTCCAGAAACTGCTAAGATAATATTAATATAAATTTTATTTATTTAAGAGATATCTAGATAATAATTAATTTTAGATATTTATTTTTGATAAATTAAGTTCAATATATATATATATATATATTTAAGTCCCATGAATTCAGATTCTAAATGAAGGTTTGATTTCTTTTTATGGGGGCACCAAATCAAATTGAGGAAGAATGGTAGATCGACTGTAAAGTATTGATTGATGGGTTATAATTAGATTTTTGTGTTGGTGATTGGCTTTTTTATCTTTCTTTCTTTTTCAATCTTTTTTTTTTTGTTTATGATGTAGTCAAAACCACTAAAGAATATTAAATAAAGAATTTACATGCTCTTTATTCTCTTCGACTAGTAGTTGATGATATTATATTTATTTGAATTTATGTTTTAACAAATTCTAAGGAGGTTTGGAAGATATTGAAGCAGAGAGTATCACAGAAACTTTAAGGTATCGATAATTAAACTCAAAACTCTTCCAGGAAATTTTGAGAATTTATTTATGGATGAAAGTGAAACAATATAAATTTATTTTTCAAGAGTTATGGAGATAGTAAATCAAATAAAAAGATATGATAAATTAATTTTTGATCAAAAAATTTTAATTTTATTTTTATAAAGAGTCTCTCGTATAGTTATCATTACATAGTTGAGATAATCATAGGCTTCCTTCTCATTATTTATAATGAAAAAATAATCAAAAACTTTTTTCGTACCCTTTATGATCAAATTTAAAGGCTCACTTTTAATAATAAAAAAAATAAAAGAAAAATCTCTTTTGATTATTGATATCCACACACTTATACTTCGCATTAATATTGGAGGGACTGGATCAAGAAACTTTTTTGACTGGTCTTCAAAGGAAGCTATGATAATAAAAATACAATCTTTAGTTGAAACTTTTGAAAAAAAAATACAAATTTGCTGATGTTGAAGAACCTATAGATTTTGAAAAAGAAGATAAAATTATTTCAGAGAGATCATGAATTCATATTTTTTGAAGAGATGTACTGATAGATCAAATCAACACTCAATCAGCATATTAAGCTGTAAAGTATTTGTTTAGAGACTATAATCAAATTTTTTTAATAATAATTTTTCATATTTTAAATTATTTAATTTTTATATTGATATTTGACTATTTATCTGTCTTTTTTTTTTCGTCATGATTCCCCAACCAAACTGGCATTGCTAAGAACAAGAGAGTCTAGCAGCTGCTACCATTTGATTTGATTGCCTACAGTGCTACCATTTGATTGGAGATTGCAAGCACCAAGCAAATGGTGACCGTCTTCCATCATCTTGAAAACTGGAACGAAGGAATAGGAGTGACAGATTGGAAGCTAGAATGAGATGACATGCGTTGATTCAAATAGAGCTCTGAATCATATACAATTGTGCATGGGTTCTACAGGCATTTCCAGTTGAGAGAAAGCAAATGCAGTTTGTCGAACAACTGATACCCTACAGCTTTCGTTAATCATCCATTAGGCTACCTTCTTCTGGTTGTTATCCCCTGCAAAGCCCCGGCTTCTCTTGATTCTCACGAGCGACAGCAATTATAGGAGCAGACAAGGAACAAAATCCGACATCGCTTGCACTCTTTCTACCAGAGATCATCTGCTGAGACTTCTTGCAATGGGAAATCGCCCCTTGAATTGAGCTCTCCACCTCTGCATTCAGGCTGCTGCTCCTGTTAAGCAACAGCAGGGGCTGGTTGGAACCACCGGACCTCGTCGTACCCGTGAAGGATGACGATGACGAAGAAGAAGCGGACGTCAACGACACCGATGAGTCCGTCGCCGTGTGACTCCAGCTCATGGCCCCTGAGAACGACTTCCTGTAGCACACGTCGTCCTCTTCTATATGCTTTTCCCTGTTAATGCTCCTCATGAGTCCTAGCGCATTGGTGTCGTCGAAAAGATGAGTCCCGATCTGAGCTTGCTCCACTAGTTTCTTTCTGGCTTCCGCTGCGCTGCCGTCGGTACACTCTTTGGTTTGCTGAGCGGCCGCGCATGACTCGTCGGGACGCCGCGGTTTGTTGAACAGAGACTTGAGATAAGCCTTTGAAGCCTTCAGCTTGAGACTCTGGGATAAGTGCTTGATCAACCTGAGCTTCTTGGACCAAGAACTCTTTCGATTTGACCTTACCAGCTCTGCCGAGCATCTGTAGTAGTCTTCCGCATCCAGCTCGCCGCTGACATAGCAAGAACTGGCAGGCGAGATGTTGCATGGCCCAAATGGAGTGCGATCCGTAGGGGTAGCTGGTGCTATGGCCGCCTCGTCGTCGGAGGCATTCATCTCCTTTGACTTCTCGAGCTTCTCGACCATTTGAAGCCGAGGAGGGAGATGCAGAGGGAGGAGCTTCCCCTTGTAGAAGAGCTCATCAGCAGGGTACGCAGTGGCTTCCGACTCCGCCGGCTGGACACTCATTTGGAACTCGAACTCCTTGGAATGTGGAGAGGAGACGATGGCGTAGCAGAGGAAGCTGTTGGTAGTGCTATTACCCATTTCTGTTGCACAGCTGACATCCATGTCGATGTAGTCTTCTTCTTCCTCATCTTCTTCTGCTATGTGGTCGTAGGAAGGGAGGGTCTTAGCCATTCTTACTGTTACGATGGCCAAGTATTCGAAATCTAAACAAAACTCTCTCTGGATACTGTTCCTTTCCCTCCCCTGCCTCACAGTGTTTGAGCCGTGGCTGTGGAGTGGGTGGTCGTGACGCTGAGAAAGGTGTGGGCGAGGCTGAGCATCCTTTAAAGCGAGAATAAGGCCAAATGAGAAAGAATTATGAAGGGGCTGTCAGGGATTTGGAAATAGGCCAAGGCATCCAACATAAGCCATGCAGAGAAACATGAGGGGTAGCCTTCTAATGGGTCCGCAAACCCTCGTCATTTGACCCATATTTTGTTCTCTCTCTCTCTCTCTTCCTCCA